ATTTATCAGTAATGTCTAAATTTAATCGCGATGATATTGTGTAGTTCAAAAGATGAATGGGATAAACTAGCGAAATGGGTTGTGAATTTTAAAATATTTTCACCGAATGTTCGTTGGCTTATTCAAGTTCCAAGACTTTACAATATATATAAAGAAGCCAAAACTGTCGAAAATTTTGAAGATATTATTAAAAGTATCATCCTTTTTCAATTAATTTTAGAAGCTATATAATGTCTCAAACACAAAAGAAAAAAAATTGACGCATTCGAAAAATGATGACTTTAGATTTATTCGAACCCTTGTATGAGGTTACGAAAGATCCGAGATCTCATCCAGAGTTGCATGTATTTCTCCAACGTGTAGTGGGATTTGATAGCGTAGATGACGAATCTAAAGCAGAAAGACGTATTCATAAAAAATACCCTTGTCCAAAAGATTGGAATACGAACCTTAATCCACCCTATTCTTATTATTTATTTCATATGTATGCTAATATGACAAGTTTGAATCAATGGAGAAAAGCTAGAGGATTTAGTATGTGTTTATTATTATTACTATTTACGTGAATAACAGGGAGTAATTAAACATTAATCCATTTAAGATACTTTTGTTCTTCGGCCACATGCTGGTGAAGCTGGAGATACTGACCATTTAACTTCAGCCTTTCTTACTTCACAATCTATATCACACGGAATCTTGTTACGCAAAGTTCCTGCGTTACAATATCTTTATTATCTTAAACAAATCGGAATAGCAATGTCTCCTTTATCTAATAATGCTTTATTCTTGAATTACGAAAGAAATCCTTTCTTAAGCTTTTTCCAGAAAGGTTTGAACATAAGCTTAAGTACAGATGATCCTCTTCAATTTCATTACACTAGAGAACCACTAATTGAGGAGTATAGCGTTGCTGCTCAGGTTTTTAATTATATTTAACAATCATCTTTATTCCTTATATTAAATTTGTATATTAAATGTGCATATTTAAATTTATTAGATTTGGAAATTATCCTCTTCGGATATGTGTGAACTTGCACGTAACTCAGTTGTACAAAGTGGATTTGAAATGGCTCTTAAAAAACATTGGTTAGGAAAGGAATGGTACATCCCCGGGAAAAAAGGAAACGGTATGCAACGATTCATATTATAGAATCTACTTTTTAAAGACTGTTTTTTTTACTTATATATTATCATATAATAGATATTCATAAAACTAACGTTCCCGATGTAAGAATGGAATTCCGATATGAAACTTTACTTGAAGAAATTAAAATGATCTTAAAATACTCTTTAAAGAAATCATCATCGCCATTTATCTGCAACACCATTCATATGGTTCCGCAACCTCGACCGCCACTGCGTTCAGGCTCAATTTTATCTGAAAGTGACCTTAGCGTTATACCAGGAGTTTCAATGTTTACTGCTAAGATTTTTAAAGAGAGATTTGGCACGTTGGATGAGAAAGATGATTATTTTAGCCAATGAAATTGTGTACACATAATAGCATTCATATAAAC